AACCAATAAATTCAAATAAAGTTCTAATGTCAGAGAAGACATTTTTTATAAAACAAAATATCACTACTCTCAACAGGAATAGGGCAGTAACCTTACCTAATTCTCTGCCCCACCCCCAACTACATACTAAGAATTGAACCCAGGGACTTTATCAATGAGTTACATCCACATTTTTTTTTTTACTTTTTAAATTGAGGCAACATTATATTAAGTTGCCCAAACTGGCCTTAAATTTGCAATCCTCCTGCCTCTGCCTCCCGAGTTTTTGGAATAATAGGCCTATAACCACCACATCTGGCCTTTCCCAAATACTAAGGTGTAATGCTCAGAATTTCAAACAACAACAACAACAAAAACTGAAAGTAATCAGAACAAACACCATCCATAAACAACTCAAGCAGTTGCACCATGTGACTATGTATCAGCTCTGCCTACAGTACACACACCATGTGCCAAATCCACTTTTCTGCCACTTTCCTCTATTCCAAGTACTATAAGGTCTTAACCCATAACTCATGACTGTGCAAAAGCTAGGCATATGCCTCAGGCCAGGTATTCATTACATACATAGTAAGAACCTTCCTAAACTAGGTGCAATGGCACATGCCTGTAATCCCAGCACCTCAGGATGCTGAGAAAGGAGGATTGCAAATGCAAAGCCAGCCTCAGCAACTTAGTGAGGCCCTAAGCAACTCAGCAAGACCCTGACTCTAAATAAAATATTTAAAAAGACTCGGGTTGTGGCTCATGGTTAAGTGCCTCTGGGTTCAATCACTAGTAAAAAAACAAACAAAAACCCTTCCTGTTCTTCCTTTCTTCCCTGAAAGGGCATAACAATTACAAAAGAACTATTTGGTGCCCACAGAAGCAGATACAAGCAAATACAATTTTGGAGGATAAAAATCAAATGACACTGCTCAGTTACAAGATGGCGCTTCCAACGGTCCAGAATAGGCTTACTTTGCTTTCCTTGTATTAGGATCAAAAGAAAACGCAATGTTTTAAAATTCTTATAGACAACTCTCAAATCTTAAAATCCGTAAATTCCAAGAGAGCCACAGAACCCATTTTGAGAAACACTAGTCTACAGACTGGTTAAAGAAAATAAGTACTTGGCCTCAAAGTGAATAAATGTCTTGAATAATAGCTAACTTTTATCAGGTGCTTACGTGTCCTGGTAGCCAACTTGTATGGTTTCCTGATTCCCCTGTTCTTGCCCAATACACAGTAATTAGGATGCAAAAGAACCATTATTTATGGTGTGGAATCCACGTGCCAGGTACTTCACCCACATTTAACTGTAAAATCCATTTGCCAAAAAGATATTATCTCATTTTAATATTTTATTTGATATTTTATTGATGATTAAACGAAGATGGATGGGTTAAGAATTTTGTCCAAAGCCATTCAGCTAATAGAAGGATTGGGGTTTGAACTTAGTTCTTTTTGATTCTAATACTAGAGCGCCTTATTAAAGGGTGGTATCTTTCCAATTCCTGCTAGAAGCCTAATGCTCTAGCCCCATTGTGGAAGGTAAAATAATCCCCCCCCCAAAGGTGTTCATGACATAATCCCCAAAACCCATGAATGTTACTTTATATGACAAAATGATTTTGTAGGTGTGATTAAATTAAGGACACTTAAGTTAAAAAACGAAGGTGGGGGAGGCTTCTCTGAATTTGGGGAGGAGGCAGTCACAAGGGTCCATATAAGTGAAAAGCACAGGCAGGAGAGTTAGGGGATAAGACAGGAAGCAAGGGTCAGAGGGATATGAAGATGAAGGGAGCCAAGAAGCAAGGGATGCGACAGACTCTGGAAGCTCAAAAACCCAAGGGGCAGCTTCTCCCTTTGCGCTTTCAGAAGGAAAGCAGCCCTGCCAACCCCTTCAGATTAGCCCCATCTCAGACTTTTGACCTCTAGAACCATAAGATAAAAGAGTTGGTGCTGTTTAAAGACACAACCTTGGAAGTAATTTATTTTTTATGTTTTTTTTTAATATTTATTTTTTAGTTTTTCAGCGGACACAACATCTTTGTTTGTATGTGGTGCTGAGCATCGAACCCGGGCCACACGCATGCCAGGCGAATGTGCTACCGCTTGAGCCACATCCCCAGCCCGGAAGTAATTTATTACAGCAGCATAGTAAAGTAATGAGGCCTTGCCAACACAACGAGCAAGAAATTGGTCACAACTCTTCAGAGGTGGATTTGTCAACTCTGAACTTCAGACAGAACAATTAACACATTTTACCCCAGTATCCCATGTGCTATATTTGCCAAATGTTCTATTTATAGGATGGCTTATATATGTGAAAGATACTATATTGTCCTATTTATAGGACAATCTATTTTCATCCTCAATGATAAGAAAGGATATCTTAGCTCCAGATTATGATTTCCAACCCATTTGAATGCACCTGTGTCAATCTCATTGAAATATTCACAGGACTGAAAACTCAGACCAGTGGAGCAGAAAAGGGGAATCAGGGAAGGGAGGGGGAGAGGGAGTGGGCTACTGGGGAATGAAAGGGACCAAATTACGTTATATGCATGTGTGAATATGTAACAACAAAGTCACTGCTGAGTATAATAAAAATGCACCCGAAACTTATATAAAAAAAAAAAGAAAAAGAAAGAAAACTTGAGATTTAATGGGTTAAAGAGGAGTAAAGAGTGCTGAGTGACGACAGACAGCCACCTTGGAGAAAGTTCTAAAAAGGGACAGAGTGACTTTGGGACAAAGCCTCCAAACTTTCTCAGCTGAATGTGTGGAGAGAGGCCGAGGCCCACTGCCAGGGGAAGGACAGAGGCAAACAGACAGAAGGCAGCTACAACTCTAGTTCTTGCGTCCACCCAGCCAGCCGTCCCAGGAGCATTTCATCCAAGGTGTCCAAGAGAATGCCCAGAGTCAGGGCCAGGGATGTAGCTCAGTGGTAGAACACTTGCCCCGCATGCTGGAAGCCCTGTCAATCCCTGGTACTGCTGAAGGGTGGGGGGGAGTAAACAGAGTCTTTTCTTTTTTTTTTCCCCCATATTATTGTTTTCCTTGAAAGAAATTTCTGGAATAGTGTACAATACTGGAAGGGAGCTGCAGGAAAGGAAGGACTTGGCCAATTCCTGGTCACCAGACCATTCTGTTCAAGGCCATGGACCAATGCCACTCCTGAAAGCCACATTGGTATAATCAAGTCATGTTAAATAGGAAACTCTGGTACCCAACTGCACCATTTTGGAAGCTATTTGCAGCATAGACAAGAGCATGCCCATCCCACATCCAAAAGAGCCACACAGGAGACTAAAGCTCTGAGTGTCACCTGGCCACTAGCACAAAGCCCTCCAGTGTCACACCTGCACAGGTCTCCAAGAAGGCTGTATCACATTCTACTGCAGGGATTTGTCCCCTGCTTTTTCCATGGCCAGCAATCTGGGCATTAGCCACCAGGACAGCTGTACCCTTTAACACATTGCAAGGTAAAAGAGGAAGTACCTGCTGACAGTCTGGCTCCATCAACCAGCGCTAGGCCAAGCTACAGAACTGGTCCAGTCGGACTTCAAAACAACTCAGTGACACTTCCCTTGGTTTCACTGCCTTATAGTCACATGGATATCAATAACATTAATTTACTCACTCAGTTGTAACTTGCCAGGTGTTGTGGCACATACCTATAACCCCAGCAATTTGGGAGGCTAAGGCAGGAGGATCACGAATTTAAGGCCAGCCTCAGCAACTTAGTAAGACCCTGTCTCAAAATAAAAAATATAAAGGACTCAGGGTGTAGCTCAATGGCAGAATACCCCTGGGTTCATTCCCCAGCACCACAAAAAATAATAATCATAATTTGCTCAGTCATTCAACCAAAGTCTACTGAACATAGACAGGCCATGTGCCAGACACTGGGAATATAGTTGCTCCTAGTGCCACCAAGGGAGGACTATAGTACCTCAGCAAAAGAGAGGACACGATGACCTATTCAGGGAAACCTCCCCAAGAAAGGGGTGTTTGCACTAAAACCTGAAAAAAGATACTGGCTGGAAAGAGTATCTAGATGAGGCAGCTCAATATTTCTCTGAATATTTATCTGCATTTATGAAATGCGTTGAAACCCAAAGGAAGGTATAAGAATGATACCAATGAATATAAATAGCCCTTTATGGTTTATAAAGCATTTTTTCACCCATTATCCCAGATTCAACAATAGCACCAGAGAGACGAACAAGAAGTGTCATGCTCTCTCTTATAAATGAGAGAACTGAGATGAACAGCAGCTGGATGCCTCACCAATGTCACTCAGTAAGTCAAGGAGAAGACTCAACCCCACTCTCATTACTCCTCACTGCCAGCTCTCCTGATGACACAGCACAGCCTTCCCAAGGAAGCTGAGAAGTGAAATGACAGCAGCTGGTATTAAAACCTGGGAACAGGCCACGTGTGGTGGCACATTTCTATAATCCCAATGACTCAGAAGGCTGAGGCAGGAGGATCGCAAGATCAAAGCCAGCCTGGGCAACTTAGTGAAACCATGCCCCAAAATAAGAAATAAAAAGGTCTGAGAATGTGGGTCAATGGTAGAGCACCTCTGGGTTCAATTCACAGTACTGTTACCAACCCCAATCCAATATTTAGGAACAAAGGACATACACAGGTCAGGCACTCTGTTAGGCACCAGAGATTCAAGATGGCTATGTGGTACCAGGAAGAAACTAAGTGGATGAATTTATCAGAGCTTCTTAAAATGTACCATCCCCACCCCAAACTAGACTCTATCCCTGCTTTTTGTTTGTTTTTTTTTTTCCCAAATTAGACCTTTTTAACTTCTGCTTCTCTAACAATTTCCTCCTTCCAGAAGAAGCAGGTCTTCCCTGAGCTGTGACAGTCCCATCCAGGAGCTACCTGGCTGCAGCAGCTCCTGATCACCAACTTCATTCCTTAGTACCCCCACAAGGCCTTCCATGTCTCCCAAAAATTCAGTTAGATCTTCCAGTTATATACTTTCTTTCTTCTTTCTTTTTTTTTTGCGGGGGGGATACTGATTGAAACCAGGGGTTACAGGCACAAAGACACAGCTCAGTTGCACTTTCTTTACTGCTTGCCCTTTTCCTAATAATATTCATAGCTCTTCATGTGCCTGTCTCGCATGCTGAGTACTGCTCCCAACAGGGCCCAGCGTGGAACAAGAACTCAAAGATACCTGACACATGATTGAAAACACACACACACACACATACACACACACACACATACACACACACACACGGGTGGCAGATATGGAGGGTAAGCCAGGTCCTTTCTCCCCTCCCTGCCTATCTCTCATAAAGTAAGTTAACAAATAGGAACACATTGGACTGATAAAATGAAATAATATATGCAAACACACTTTTAACACCATGAATGTGGGAATTACAAATATATATGAATACAGTAGTCCCTCCTTATCTGTGTTTTCAATTACCCTCACCATGAACCAAAACTATTAAATGGAAAATCCTAGAAATAAATAATCCAGATGAGCATTGGCACATGGCTATAATCCCAGTGATTTGGAAGGCTGGGGCAGGAGGATTGCAAGTTCTAGGCCAGCCTCAGCAATATAGCAAGACCGTTTCAAAATAATAATAAAAATGGCTGGGGATATAGCTCAGAACCCTTGGGCTTCAACCCCCAGTACCAAAAACATAAAATAAAAAATAGATCATAGAAAGTAGAAAGGTGGTTCTCAAGGGCTGGAGAAGGGAGAGGGAATTATATTTAATGGGTATAGAGTTTCAGCTGTACAAGATGAAAAAAGTACAATAGTGTAAATATATATATAAGAATAAATATATACATAAGAAATTATTCCCAAGACAGATAATATTCATTCTTGATAAAGAAGGTAAAGAACAAATGAGAAATAAGAAGAGGGGAAAGGAGAAGAACCAGTCAATAACACAGTCTGTGTATTTAGCTCAGAGTCCACACTGGGTGCGAGGCAGAGGAAGGAGCAGAAATATATCAACCTGCAAGAGCCCTGGCTCCAGGGAGGAATATGCACACCCTCAGGCAGAAGCCCTCGCTCTCTCAGTGCTTCTACCTCTGGAAAACAGGGGTGGTCTTCACGCTGCATCACAGCACCGTGCTCCAGTCAGGATCAGAGAGATCAGCATCTACACAATATGACAAGACACACGCAGCTCACACACAACACTCTGTGATTATCACAACTGCTGATCTCGGAGGACTACCCACGGCTCTGGCCAAGCTCTGAGGCCTGTGGCTTCAGAGCCCACAAATGCACCCAGCAACCAAAGCCAGCGGTGTCCTGCCCAATGTTACCCTAGCACCCTTTGATATGAAAGGATAACGTCAGAAATAGTCCTTTACACAGAAATTCCATGCCCTAGTTCTTGACAGCTGTAATTACAGCCCAAACAGCTTTTGAAAGGGAAAGAAAAAAGACAGAGAGAGAGAGGGAAAAAAAAACTAACAGCCTGGACTTCGCAGTGAATTGCAGGGTTTGGTTAAGACATGCAGTCAGAGCACTTGCTATTAATGGTGGTCAGTATAAACAAAAGACTGGACAGCGGACAGCCAGACCAAACAGCTTTCTGGCCAATTAATCTCTCCCTCTAACTTAATGAGCTGCTCATTAAGTGCTGGAAGCAGCTCTAGGGAAGGGGCCTACAAGAAGAGGCACATGGGCTGCAGGAACTGGCAGGTGATAAACAAAGAGGAGACAGAGGCCACAGTCCAGTCCCAAATGTCTCCAGATCCCATGTCCAGCCTTCCCTTGCTTCCAGGTGATGTTTTCCTGTGCTTCTGTTTATTCTGAAAAGTTGTGTTTCTAGCTGGGCACAGTAGTACATGCCTGTGATCCCAGCTGATGAGACACTGAATCAGCAGGATCACAAGTTCAAGGACTGCCTGGGCAATTTAGCAAGACCCAGTCTCAAAATAAGAACAAAAAGGGCCAGGGTGTGGCTCAACAGTAAAGACCCTCTGGGTTTAACTCCCAGTACTGCAAAAATAAATAGATAGATAGATAGATAATAAAATTTAAAAGGTGGGGTAAGGGTGTAGCTCAGTGGTAGAGAACCTCTGGGTTCAATCCCCACCAACACCACTAAACAAACAAACAAAAAGTCAAAGTTGTGTTTCTGCCACTGACTCCCTTTTTGGAGAGTTGCCATGTCCTAATTCTTGGTTCTCCAGCTGGTATCATGACTCATTCAGTATCACAAAGAGCCTCAAGCAGGAGTTCAAAGGGGACATTGAGTCTTAGGTGTGAATCCCATCTATACCTGTTCACAGCAGTATGAATTATTTAACGTTCCCAAGGTTTCATGTCCTCATCTGTAAAATGAAATAATAAGCTGAGTGCAGTGGTGCACACCTGCAATCCCAGCAATTCAGGAGGCTGAGGCAGGAGGATCACAAGTTTGAGGTCAGCCTTAACAACTGAGCAAAGGCCTTAAGCAATTTAGTGAGACCCTGTCTCACAATAAAAAGTAAAAAGCACTGGGGTGTAGCTCAGTGGTAAAGTGCCCCAAGGTTAAAGCTCCAATACCAAAAATATTTAAAAAGTAATAATAATAGCCTCACCCCATGTAGTCAAATAGTAAATAATAAAACAGTGTTTTAATATTAAAACACCTAGCAAAGCACTTGATAATAAGTAGCTATTACTACTAGTAGCTACTATTTGTAGACATATTACTTTCATAGGAGAGTGAAATATTAGCAACATATTCCATCCTCAAACACAAATAAAAGAAGGACTTTATTTGATTGACATGCCAGCTACAGGTCAAGCCCTTCTGATCATAACAGCAACAATCCTAGCAGTGGTAACACTCCCAAAATTCCCTAGACAAGGCTTTTGAGATTTAAAAATTTTTCAATTTTATTATTATTATTTTAAATTTTATTTTATACTGGGGATTAAACTCTGGGGCACTCTACCACTGAGCCACATCCCCAATCCTTTTTATTTTCATTTTGAGACAGGGTCTCACTAAGTTGCTCAGACTGGCCTCAGCCCTGTAATCCTCCTGCCTCAGCCTCCAGAGTCTCTTAGAAGACAGGTGTGTGCCACTAAGCCTGGCAAGCCTCTATGATTTTTATCTCAGAAGGCAAAGGAACAGAAGAAGTGGTCTGGAAATACTGAGAAGCAAGCCTGCGACCTAAAGGATGGAAATTAGCATGTTCCCATGAGGCCAAGTGAAGAAATGCATTCAGGCCATGTGTCTGTCCCTTCCTGGACCTCTGTGACACCTCACTATACCTTTCTGTTAACCTAGAAAATCAGGGTGACATGATCCCCCCCGCCACTTCACAGCTTGCTGTGAGCATTAAAGGAAATTCCTCATGTGGAAGTGCTTTGAAGCTACTTGCTCATAAGTCCATGAAAAACAGGATTGTTATAGTTAATACTAGTCTCAATGAATTCAACTTCAGAATTTTAAAAAATGGGAGGATTTAGTCACTAAAAAATTATTTTGTTAGGCTCACGAATTACTCAGAAAAATGGTGGTGAACAGCTTATTTTATTCCCAACATTGCTGTGATTGAAGTTTCTGTTGATCAGATGAAGAATTGACTAAAAATAAAACTAAGATAGCAAAACAAAGGTCCCACCCCCTTTATGTTTTCCATTTAGTTGAGGAGATTTTTCTAAAGGACAACAAGCAATGAGTTCAAACCAGGCTCCATCCAGAGATGACTCTGAAACCAATTTTCTTTAAAAAAAAAAAAAAAAACTTAATCCATTTAATTAATCCCAAACCTACCTTTAAACTGCACAGGTCTAAGGTAATTTCTCCTGTTCCAGTGCAGAGCACATAGATAACTTTCCTTCATGGTGGACAGAAGACAATTTGCTTCTCATTTAATCTCTGCTCTGTGTACCAGAGGCGGAAAGCTATAAGTTGGAATTTACACCAAATTTTTCAAATAGAGTACACAAAATGGCAGAAGAGAATGCACACAGAGCAGGCACCAAGGAAATTTGATTGAAATCTCAGTTATTCTTAAAAAGTCAAGCAAATCTCATATTCTACGCCACATAAACTACCTTTTTCCAAAAACACATTTTGAATCAATTACCAGCTAATTACTTTCCCTAAAATCTTTCAATACGAGCAACACTTGACCATCTCTCGTTGTCTGATCAATCACCACTGTGTATCACAGCGTGCAGGCCACACCAGGGAAGATGGTACCTCTCAGCCAGCACATCCATCCATTTTAACCTTAGCCTTTTATCAGGACCTAATTCAGAATCACTTCCTGGATGATATAGGAAAAGGGGTCTGGGGCCTGCAAAGTGTGTTGTCATCCAATCTGGCACTTCCAGCACCGTCTGAAATGAACAGAAGCTAAGGTGCTTGAATTCTAGCTCCTCACATCACCACCACCAACCACTCACCCGTATTCGTCTCATGGCAGCCACGATCTCCACCCTGCTGTTGGGTCTCGGCACATCTAGGCTTCCTACGTACTGTGGGGAAGAAGCAAACACACAGTGAGAAGAGGAAGAGCAAGTGTCCCTAACAACAGAATGTTAGTGATGGACAGCCCTTTGGAAGTCACCCAGCTCATCTCGCTGGTTTACAGATGAGAAAATTAAAAGCCAAAGGGGTGTTTTGTTTGGGGAAACTTTTTTTTTTCCAATACTGGGGATTGAACCCAGGGGTGCTCTACCTCTGAGCTACCTCCTCAGCCATTTTTAATTTTTACTTTTGAGACCAAGTCTCACTAAATTGCCCAGACTGGCCTCAAACTTGCAATCCTCCTGCCTCAGCCTCCTGAGTCGCTAGGATTACAGGCTTGTACCACCACACCCAACTCATTTTGAGGTTCTTTCTAACTTTATATAAAGCAACCTAATCAGACATTTCTATTTCCTTTTTTATCAGAGATGCAGCAGAGCATTGTGTTTAGCCAAGCAGGCTTTCAAATCAGAAAGACTCCTGTGAAGATTCTCACCACTATTCTTATGGCAAGGCATTTCACCCTTTTTGTCTCAATTTTTTTTCATCTGATAGTTCAACTGCTTTAAAAATCTCTTATACTTAAGTGCTTGACAAATATTAACGAGGGAGAGGGACATCCCTATCCCTACCACGTTTTTTCTTTTTTGATATAGAATCTTATTGCTAAATTGCTGAGCCTTGAACTTATGGTCCTCCTGCTTCTGCCTCCTGAGTTGCGGGGATTATACACATGTTCCACTACATTTGGTCCTACTTATTTATTTAAAGACAGGGTAGTCCAGGATGGCTTAGAACTTGCAATCTTCCTGGCTCAGCCTCCCAAGTAGCTGGAATTTTAGCTGTGCATCACCACACCTGACTTTAATAGTTTTTATTAAAATATTTAACCTGATTATACTTTTATTTTTAAAACCAAATTACAGGGCTGGGATGTAGCTCAGTGGCAAAGCATCTGCCTTGAATTCGCAAAGCCCTGAGTTAGACCCCCAGTTCAAAAAAAAAAGAACCCCACCAAAACCAAATTACATATACAAGTATTTTCTTGCCATAAACAATTCAAATAAGTAACATAAATATGCAGAGCAAATGAGTAAAGTTCCCCCTCCCAATAGTTATTGATGTACCTCACTCTTTGTATATGAAGAACATAGATTCATAGAAACAAGGAAGACTTATTCTATGTAAAAAGGTTCACATTACACTGTTCTCCAAAATGTTTTTTCTGTTTTTACTTTTAGTATAACCTGGGCATCTGTCTACACCACTGCATACAGGTCAATCTCATGCATGTAATAGTTTCCCTACTGATGAGCCCTTAAGGCAATGCTACTGTGCTTCCATGATGTCACCTTTTCTACACCTCTTTGAGCTCATCCAAGTAGCTCTTTAGGCTGAATTCCTAGAAGTGAGATTGCTGGATTAAAAGTATAGATAATCTCTAGATATCACTCCTTATAAGGATGAAACAAAAAAGAGGACAATCCAACACATAGACACATATGAAGCATATAGATTCATTGAGATTTGCTTTTCTTGTTTATATACAAATCACATAAAAATAGTATAAGAGATATCCAAGAAATTAACATCCTCAGAATAACTTTAAGCCTACCCAAGCAAAGACTGCATTAATAGGAAAGGCAAGAATAGGACCATTGCAGGGGACCATTGCAATTGTAATCCCAGTGACTAGAGAGACTGAGGCAGGAGGATAACACAAGTTCTAGGCCAGCCTGAACAACTTAGTGAGACGTTATCTCAAAATAAAATAAAAAGGCTGGGAATGTAGTTCAGGGATAGAGCTGCCCTGAATTCAATCCCTAGTACTGCCAAGAAAAAAATAGGAGGGCCATGTGTGCAGGAAAGTTATTTCCTGTAATTTTGGAAAAATAAAGTTTTTTCCCCACATTTGGAGCTAAGACCTGGTGCCAGTAAGGAGAGTTTCAAAAACTAAATACTGCAAAGGGATTTCCCCTAGTATTGATCAGTGGTTTGTGCTGATACGGTAAAGAACATGATTCTGAGCAGCCAGTGAGCTGGCCGGTAAGCAGCATGCCCCCGGGGACAGCAGCACCATGGCACACAGAGAGCGACACATTTATTGATACAGGACCTTACAATTCACCAGGGTTAAGACAGCCCCTAGATCCAATGGTGTGGTCTGATTTAACTATGATTGGCATGTCTCCCCACTGTGCTCTGCTGGGGCCATGTGGTCTGTCAATATGTCAATGACCCACACAGCCAGGAATGACGTGGGGCCCTGGTTTGTGATTGCCCAACTTCAAAGGTCCAGAGGGCAGTTTCCACACTCCTTCTCTGGAATGCCACATGGCTGATCTCTCCTGCCCTGAACTCTGTATAATCAGGAACATGGGCCTTTAGGGGCTTGTGTCCCCCTCCACCATCACATGAGGATCAGGACCTCAGGGCTGAGCAAGGTCATCTGTTATGGAGGAGCATGGGAGATAGTACCATCCTTGCACACTGATCCCTGCTAGCCCAGGAAAGAAGATACTGCCCAGTGAGATCCACCACTGAGCCTGAACACAAACACCCACAGGGGACCCATTCCCTCCCTCTGCTCCCACCCAAACCCATCTCTCCCTCCTCAGGGAGGGCGCTGCTAGACAGGGAAAGCTGAAGCAGTCAGGATACAGGGGAGACAGACTTCTGGGTTTCCTCACAAGGGGACAGAATTCTGTGTGTGAAGGACTCACACTAAAGATGCCTAACATCTTCGCTAGACAAGTGCCTCTCTCACTCCATCAGCCTCCACCCAAGCTGGTACATGAGCGCACACACCACACACCTCCACACACACTTGCTGTAATGTGCTCACACATCTCCCAAGCCACCCACCCACCTCACACTGCACACCCACTAATACATCACACTCACTCTTCTTCCTTCCTTTCCAATTGTATAGATAATCACGAATCTTCCCTTCTGAGAATGTGTATGAAGCAGATAACCTACCTTCCCTCAAGTGCACATTAAGATCATCCAAAGAGACTAAAAGAACATACAATCTGGGAATCATGTTTACACCTCCTAGACAAAAGCTAAAAATCCATTAATAACATGAATCAAGCCAGGTGCAGTGGTGCACAGACACCCGGAATCCCAGTGACTCAGGAAGCTGAGGCAGGAAGATCACAAGTTCAAGGCCAGTTTCAGCAACTTAGTGAGACCCTCCACAATTTAGTGAGTCTGTCTCAAGATAAAAATAAAAAGGGCTGGGAATGTGGCTCAGTGGTAAAGCAGCCCTGGGTTCAATCCCTATTACCAAAATAATAATAATAACATGAATCAAAAAGAGAATGACATGCAAGTTTAGCAAGAAAGGGTTAGAAAGCCAACTTCTCAGGGCAAAACCCAGAGGGTATGATAAGTGAGTACACCTTTCTTTATGTGTATGACATTGTAACCAAGAGTATCTAGTAACTAGCCATTACATCCACAGCTAATGTTAGTCTTTCCCCAATCCTCTATCTTTAAACCGATGGGCACTCTACCAATGACCTACATCCTTATCCTTTTTTATTTTTTTATTTTGATACAGGTCTTGCTAAATTGCTGAAGCTGTCCTCCAACTTGCAATCCTCCTACCTCAGCCTCCTAAGTAGCTAGGATTACAGGGATGCCCATCACACTCAATCCTAAGCCTCTTGAGCAAAATTTGAGTGACACTCTGAAATCAGACCCACTTGCTGGAGGGAAATCCTTAAGATCACTCAACTTTGGTGATCAATATCACCACCATTTCTGTGGTAAACTAAACCTGTGAGAGTAGCCTCCCTCTCTAGGTTGGAAAGTTGTTCCTGGGACTAAACCTCATCCTCCAGCTGAGCTAACAACCTTCAGAAATGGAGGTTTCTGTCACTGCCTCCAGGGATCAGGCAAAATCAACTCCCTGCCTTCAGCCAAAAGCTGATGCTCCATGGCAAGCTTCACTCAAACAGGGCCCTTCCTTTCTCTCCCTCTTCTTCAGACTAAGGTGAGTTGGACCAATCATCTCCCACATCATGCTCCTCTCCTAGCTTCCTTGCCCTGATTATCAGCCCCCAGGAATTCCAGGAATCGTGATCCTCCTGCCTCAGTCTCTCTAGTCACTGAGATTACAATTGCAATGGTCCCCTGCAATGGTCCTATTCTGTGTATCAAGCCTAAAAGCTGGGTATCATCTTTGAAAGGTTGTTCCCTTAACCACCAGTTTATCAGTGACTGAGGCTGTTAATTCTCTCCCCCTTCACCTCTCTGTCTGCACTGCCACACCAGATCCCAGAAAACCTTACTCTCTCACTTCATCTGCACAATGGTCTCCTCTCAGGCTTCTCCTCTGCCTCTAAGACCCTCCCCACAAGGCTTCCAGAAGGATCTCTTTAAAATGCAGATTAGATCCTTTTACTGCCTTGCTTAAGAATCTCCCATGCTTGCTTCCATCTGCTCTGAGGATGACAATCAAAATCCTCAGCACCGCCTACACAGTGTGCATGCTCTCACATTAGTGGCCTCTCCAATTAGTTTAAAGTTCCTTGCTGGTGAGGTAGCTCAGTGGTAGATCTCTTGACTAGAATATGTGAACCCCAGATTCAATCCCCAGTCTAGGAGGTAGGGGGACAGAAAATGCTCAAAACAGACTTTATATCCTCACATTGCAGGGTTTCTATACATACTCTTATCTGTGCCTGTGCCATAACACTCCTCTTCTACCCTCTCTCTTCTCCAGTTCTTCTTAATCTCCACCTCCCCGTCCGAACTCCCAGGGAATGTGATGCCCATACTGAGGGCTTCATAACTTGCTACGATTCTCCTCTATAGCACCAACATTTGGTAAATACATGCATTCATCACTGGTTTGACACAGACCCAGGCACAAAGGAGATGCTCAAAATATGTTTGACTAATAGGAATCCTCCAAGAAATGCACTTGGGAGAATCTCTACTCTGAGAAGGGGCAAAAGGAGAGGGTTGAGCCTTGGACTCTGCCTGGTCTTGGGGC